TCGATAAGTCGGACTCGGTCAAAATTTTTTAGCCCTTCTTTAATGCTATGTAAATTTGTTTTAATTCTTTTTTGTAATTTTTAATTTTTAAAATTTTTTTTTAATTTCTCGTCGGTCGCGCCTTCGGTCTCACGTGGTATTCGGAGAACATCATTACTATTTCAGTGCAGTCGATCATATAAATTTTTTAATTATACTGTAACGCTAATATAAAAAGATAGGATAGGAATATTCCTACTTTAAATATTTTAAATACAATCGACCGGGTTGCAGAAATGTGACTGAAGATGTAATATATAGGTGCTGGGAGAGAACTGATATTTTGCCTGACGAGTCGGAAGTCATTAACTATGACCACCAGATAATGACATTGAGATAGAAGATGAAATCATACAATTGCGTCATGAGAGGAAAAGACTGCATTGAAATTGACAGTACTTTAGAAACAAACGATATTCCTAATGATACGAAATTATTGCAGCCTCCTGAGGATGAAGGAGAAGATGACGACAAAAATGAGGTTTTTATGTATTTAACAAAGTGGCTTTAGAAAGCATTCAAAATTTATAACTATTTGCAGCAGAATAACGATATAAAAGTAAACAGTTTATTGGTTTCAGGGTTAAGAGACTTAAAATGGGAACTGTGAAGAAGCGAACGGATTCTTCGATACAAACGAGCATGGATATTTATTTAGAATAACGGTTTTTTTATCTAACGATTCGCTTTCTATAAAAAATAAAATTTTACTAAATTATTCACATGGATTTGATAAGTCGGTCTACCAAGCCAACCATCCGTGACCGACTTATCGAATCTGCCTATGTATATTGCTACCGCTACTTAAAAAGTTATTTCACTGCTGTTAATGACAGCGAAATTAGATGCGGGACCTTCCTAATTTCGTGAGTCTTTCTTTCTCAATCCAAGCTTCGATTTTGTCTAATTATGTTCTCTGCGAACATTTTTGGTGCCGATAGAATTTGCAAGTGTAGCAGGCTGTGACCAATTTCTCCTGATAATAAATTTTGATTTTCGTGGGAGATCGTTGCTCTTTTTCCTTACGAGGCGGTGAATTCAACCCTAAATGGTCTCGATACTCAGACTGATATGTTTGCATAGATACTTGCCCTATTATGGAATGCGAGTGTATAAGTACTGAGTACCAATTTATTATAATAACGAGCGATAAAACGTAATCCGAGGTTGCGACCGTTCACAAACCTCCACTTTAACTTCGGATTTCCATTCTGTTTCGGTATACATCTATTCTGTTATTGAAAGATAAATAGCTTGTTCTACGCTTTGCATTTTTGGATCCGTAGGAGGTGATATAGACAGAGTGCGAACATTCACGTAGATAAAAAACCATTATTGCAAGACTTGTATAAATTATTGTATTTTTAGGGATAGTAGAAAAAAGTATCTCTGTCGATACGATGCCCCCCGTAGAGCGCGATTACGGCGATGGAAATCGCGAACGAAAATTTATCGAAAATATCGAGTTGCATTTTGAAGTTGATAAATCGTTAATAGTTGGTTCGATATTTGATTTATTGAGCGAACGCTTTGATAATGATTTTTCTTACCCAAATCTCGTTCTATTTATATATCGAAATTTGCCATCGGCGAACTATGCATTGGTTCTTTAGATTACGCACTAAATCGTAATAAATTATCAGTATAACGAGTTCATACAACTAGAACAAATAATGACTGTGACTTAGATTTATGGATTTACGTTATATTATCGACGATCCATAAAGATTTCGGATCTACTGTACATTTATTATTATATCGGCGGATCCTTGACCCCCGGGATGATGATAGCGATGATCATGACACATTTGATTAAAAAGGCATGATATTTATTTGGGAGGCAATCATTTCATCGACAATCATTTCACGACAATCCTTTCACGACAATCATTTCACCGACAATCATTTCACTGACAAATATTACAAACATTATTTCGAATCCTTTTTTAGTAGTTAATTGTCGGTGAAATGTACTGTCGGTGAAATGATTGTCGATGAAATAATACGGACCCTATTTATTTTATATTAGCATCTATATATATATATATATATATATATATATATTAAAAAAATTGGGTTTCTGCACCATTGCATACATAAGATTTTTTCTGGATCACGTGCCTTTCTTCGAATTTCGTCCAATGCGATTTTGCCTTTGTACTTAAACGCCATGACCATCAATAAGGCACAAGGAAACTTTAAATTACGTAGGAGTTTATTTGCCGACTCCAGTATTTTCTCATGGCCAACTTTATGTGCTTGCTTTAGGACTATGTCTAGACAAAGCCTTAAGATTCTAATAACAGGCCCCGGGATGTACGCATATCCAGAGGTGTTACAAAGATGTAGACTGTTTTTACGTAGACCTGAGCATTACAACAAATATCTGATATATAATAAAGTTATATGTTTTTATATAATATATGAGGAATGATTATAGTGCTTAATAGTTATTTCCGTCGTAAATTACGCATTGTTGACGGGTACACACTACACGTATACAGTTGGACCGTCAGCGAAGCGACGGGTTACAAACTCGTTAGTGTTAATTGCTTGTGTCTGTTCTGCAACACGTTGAAGCCTTTTATACTCTTTAATTACAAGGGTCTGTTGTGAAGGCAGTTTGTGCAATGCGCTGATATTGAGACTCTCCCAAGAGGGGCATCTACTGGCCTGGCGAATTTTTTTTTGGATTTATCGACTTCGTTCTTGGCTTGTTGCTAATTGTAATAGCCAACTCCACAATATGGGAATATTAACTAAGACTATGAAGTCCAGAAAATTATCAATAACAAAATCATCAGCGAACAAAATTTATTCGCCAGATATCGAAATGTTGTGGAACGATTTGAGACAATCATACGCAAATTTCATTTAACAAAATGGCATTCGAAATTTATAAATTACTTAAAGGAAAGCTGTTGCAGCTTCCATAATACGAAATTTTTATCTTCTAAGAACAACTCCGCGGAAAAAGACTATTGAGGCAATTCAAGAAAAGAAACCACTCAGAAGTAGAAAATAAAAATAAAGAAATAGATGATAGTAATAATAATATTGTTATTAATAATATTAAAGAAGATAACGAAGTACCAGAATGTCCAAAGAATAGTTATACTCATAAATGGCTTTGGGAACCGAGTATTTTCTCCCATGTATTAAAGATATTAAAATTGCTCTTACAAAATTTGTTGTGTAATTTTGACTCTTTGGTTGCAATTGTACAATGCGAATCAAAACTCAACGGATGCGCTCAAGTAGTCTTTATCAACAACAATCCGACGACTATAAGAAATGATCTCTTAGTGATAGTTCACTCGATCAATAGAGGCCTTGGCGGCAACTTTTATGTTAAATTTGCTTTCTTCAAGTTTTTGTTTCTTTCTTGTTTCATCATAAGTTTGTGTTAATGCTCGTTTATTGGGTTTTTATTTTTCGTTGTTCTTGGTAATCTCATAAGTAATTTTTTCTTTATCCAGACATTTCTGGAGTATTTGAGTATCATTGATTTTAAAAACGTATGGAGCAATTTTTTCTCCTTGAGCTCTTTTAGAATGCTTATAATTGTGCTGTCATTCTTTGGTTTTATGGTGGATTTGATGTAAATTAGTTTTATATTATATTTTTATATAGACATAATAATAATCCTATATTAATCATATGACTTCATATTCATCTTAGCCAACTGGCACGATAATAAATATGTGTATAATAATAAGTTACTATTACAGCTGTGAGTAATCAAAATTTTCATTAGAAAAATTCAGCCACACCATTATGTCACATAATAAAATGTTTACTTTATCTGGTTTTGTTGCAGCATGCCCCCCATATGGTAAAGTTTAGCCTGAGTCAGCCATAAACCATTTCGGCGACCATATCAGCTGGGCCAGTCCAGCCACAGCTAACTTCTGTCTCTGTAATATATGTGGGTATAAAATTTAGCTTTGATATTGTTTCCTTATCCAGTAATCAGATCATCAATATGTCTAAGCATGTTATTAATTTAAATTAAGTAGTCGAAGTGATTTACTAATTAATTCACATTTTTCTTTGTAAAATGTTTGAACAGAGCATTTATTTACCTTCTGTTCAATTCTTCTTTTCATATTTCCATACACTTTCGATTGGATTGAGATCTGGGACTTTTAGAGAGCCAGTCTAGCACTTTGAAAACTTAGACCGAAATTGCCTTAGTAGAATAATTATCCAAAGTTAGAAAGCATAATTTCATTTAAAATTTATTCTACAAAACTATTACTATCTTTTAATTGGAGTAAGATTGGTTTGACAAATATAATTTTATTGTATGCACAAAAAAAATTCTCATTACTTTTGTACTGCACTGTATATAACCCTTCGATTCCGCAATTCGATGATTTGTGATAATATCAAAAAGCCACTTGAAGTTATTAACAGTATATTCTGAATACACACATCTATATATCAGCCTATTCCTTGGAGTTATGCGCTTAAGTTACCAGATAAACATAGCAATAGAAGCGTAAATAGTATAAAATAAGGAGTAATCATTTTGACTTTGTCATAATGATTGTGATCAAAAGTCTGACGTCATGACATTAAATCAGTAATGATTCGAGTTACAAACGTCAAACAAAATGCTTTTATTTATACAAAAATTCATTGGTCAAATATCTATAAAACAGGATTAGAGAATAAACGACCAAATAAAGGTAATACTGTCGGTTATTACGATAATATCGAAATATCTGGTTTTGGTTTAGTTGGGGTTTTCTTTTCCTTTCTTATTTATCGTGCGATTTCTGCATGGCCTGGGCAAATACTAAATTATTGGTTGATCAGCAATATTTGGTTTGGTGGTTATGCAACGAATATCGAATGATGTTTCAATTATTTAACATGCACGTGGAAATCGACAACGTAATACACTGTTTACCAACAGCCTGGATACATCATTCTTACCTCATTCCCTCTACAGAATGGGCTATGATATAGACCACACACCAGCTGAAGGAAAAGATCCTTCCAATCAGAAAATGAAACCTGGAGATTTACCATACCTTGAACCTGTCTCCGTTAATGACCAAGCTGAAACTAATGCTACTACTCAAGACTCTGGTTCATCGTCTTGGACAAATGCCCAGCCTGCAATTCAAAGCCCACTATCGATCTACGGCTCAGAGCCTATCCAAAACCCTTCCGTTAATCCAACATTAGGTCGACCGAGAGACAAGGCCGATGCCTTTTCTACATTTTCTACTCCTCGGCGGCGAGTAGCTGCGATTACCACCAAACCGACGAATGCACGGCATTCTGTGCACGATATAGGCTTACGACAAGACGACGAGTTTGCCTTCCTTCGTTACGCTTCGCCTTCACGTAGTAGTACATTTCATGATCAAAATTTGTCTCGTAGCGACATGATTGAACGTGATCTGCATAGAGAACGCATAGAGAATGCTGGTAAAGGATTTGCTAAATTAATCGATGAAGATTCTGGCAAAGGTATCGTCTTGTTAGTTTTTCTTAGAAAGGAAGAGGGAGATAGATTCGCGCATTTAATTAATGACAGAATATTTAAAACTGCAAAGAATCTATTGCGGATTTATTTGCTAACGTAAAAGACGAAGAATTGGACGAAGAGGCCGAAATGTTGGCGCAAGATACGCAGAAATTAATGGATCAGAAATTGCGTGGTAGTGCCGTGGAAGTTGCAAGAAACCCCGAGGCGGGAGATGGTAAGGCGAGATTTTCATAGGATGGAGGGAGGCTGAAAAGAGCAAATCTAGCCGAAGCACTATTTTTAGCATTCTCTCAAAAGGGCAAGAGTTATTTGGCATCAAGAGTCCAGAGGAATGTGTTTTGATTATCAGTCTCCTTTGTTAACAATACTAACGCTTTGTTAAAATTTGAAGATGATGGGCTTTCTTACCTTTCAGAACGCACTCTTTCTCATTCACGTTCTTGCAAACAATATTTCGAGACAAAATATCACGCTATGGAACAGATAACGAATGATATTGAAGTTTACAATCCGCTACAAGTAATACGGAAAAAACAAATAGAAAAGCCTCGTAATAGTAACGAGAATATACTCAACGAAAAATATCTTGGAATAGGTTCTGGGGGAAGTCGGCAATCATTGAATCGAACTAAACAGAATCTCCAACCGCCACGACGGCACTTTATTTCTATTTGGGAGGTTACACCGACAGACATATTGAATTATTATGAACAACAAAAGTCTAGTCATGACTCTACTATTATCAAAACTGACAATTTACCAAGTCGTTCCGAATCTGTTCCGGAGATATTCGTTGAGACGGAGCGCATACGAGGGGGTGAACCTCGGCTTTCTCAAATATTCAATCCACCTCCGGATATCGGATCATACTTACCGTCGTCCAAAACAATGCCTGTTCAAAATGATGACGCATCTGCGTCACACGACGGCCGGGCACTTTCTCGATCTCTAAGTGCATCGAGTGTACTATTGCCATCAGCATCAAAGAAAGAAGGATCTAAGAAGAAGCGGTGGTCGTTGAACCCGTTCAAACGAAAAGACAAGAATCGCAAACGCGACTCAAAGGTCGAAGCGAACGCTGCGCACTTGGCACAGATCGAACCTCAAGAATCAGTGCCAGGAACAGGGTCCGAGGAAGTAAATGTGATTTCCAGATCACTGAAATCTCTCCCATCGTCGGAATCATCTCTTGTTTCTGGTCGATCATCATTTGAAGATACTCGCCGACAATCAATAGATTATGTTACTTTAATGTTGGATAAGGCGAGCTCAACGCCGTCTACGCCCAGCGATGTCCGATTGTCGGATGGCTATACTGGAAGTGAAGACACAGGAAGACACTCTGTTGGTACATCGATTTCAGAGAGAGAACATGTTCAGTCGATTGGTGAAGACGAGATGGAAAACGTCAGTGAACAGCACGAATCAGGCAGTGACCTGTCGGCGTTATCAAGTAGAAGAAATTCCTTGGATATAATGAGGGTGAGCTATACCTGTTTGTTATTGTCAAGTGATGTATACGTTGGGTTGACAAATCATTGCTATCGAAGAAAAAGACAAATAAAGGGAATCTAGGGAACGTCGAAACCACTAATGAAAGTCGTGTCAATGAAGATGATAAGAAGAATTATATGCGTCCTGATTCGGAAGGTGTGTCTTGTTGCTAAGATTCGTTATGATAAACCCATGCAATTACAATGGATTGGCTGTGAATTCATCATGTTTTGTTTCTAGGTGAACTTGATGATTCGGACGAGGAAGAATTGGGCAGACCTAGGTTGACAGGAGAAACTGTGCTTGTTGATTTAGATAGACTTCCTCCTGATCTTGAGAGTACAGTAACAGAATTTCAGGAACGCGGATTAGTAGCAAGAAATGCAGAAGGAGGACGGTTTGGTATGAACGGTCGTTCGGTGGTATCATATGTTGGCAAACTTTTAGTTAATAGAATTTCTATTCATGTAGTTGAGTTGGATGTCGGATTGAAAGGCTATTTTCGTTTCCATAAATTGATATGGCATAACAGTAAGTTATTGAGTAAAAATAAAAAACCGTCATACCCCGTTTATGTCACCCCTTTTCGTTTAGAGGATATAAGCGGGGTGGATGCAAGGAACATTTGTTCTTATAAGGCCATTTGTTTTTACGAAATTTGGGGATATAAACGGGGGATGACTATTCATCCTGTACTATTGATACATATTTACATGTCTGATTTTTCTAGATATTCCTATCAGATTAGATGTGATGCTTGTTGACGATATGATACAAGAAGACAAAAAGTTAGTATGAAATGACTTTTTTTAGAAGTATGCGTTTTTTATATGATTTATTTATTTATTTTCTTTTCCACAATTAGAACACCGACTATTGATGATTTACAACCCCCGAATGAAAAGGTAGATAAGGCTAAGAATATACTGAAAATGTATGAGGAAGAGCGTAAAATTCAAGAAGCTGCAAAGACTAATCCAGCCACTGTAGAAGCGGAGGTATAATGTTATAATTTGACATTTATGTTGTGCCAATGTTCTAGTGATGCATATGTAACACACTCTCTTCTAGCATACAATAATAGATGAAACAGACATTATCACCAATATAATTTTCTCAGACGACGACACCGATCGTTTATTCCTCGGTTCAATGTTGGGTCATGACAGTAATTCGCGTTATTGGAAAGCTGAGGTTGAAAATAGGGTGCAAGAGTTGGATACAGAGTTGAAAAAAATTGAACGAAATTTGGACGACATGATGTTACGAGATCAAAGGTAAATATTATGGTTTATCTTTATTACTTGTACAGCTAAATGCCAGATAAATAGGTGTGTTTGTCGTGATGTAGGCTGCTGAGTGAAGCGGAAAAAACATCAGCACAGATTGACGAAATGTTGGATGCTAGCCATGTCAATCGTGATACTGAGGACTACCTTTATGCTGTATGTACAACAATTATTTATATGTTTTTGTATGACTAGTTTCGTTAAGATTGCTATAATATTGCTGGGCAGTACATTTTATTTACTAACCATTTAATGTTTGTGTATAGCTGAAGGTTCTCGAGGATGAAATACAATTATTAAATTCCAAGTCAATATTATGGGACATATTTTATATAATGCTGTCTTATGTACTAGCGGGTAAGTCTGCATACTAAATCGGTTATTTTCTATTCCAATAACTCACACGTGATGCATTATTTAGGTGTAATGATCATTGTTTGGTTTGCAGTTCATTGTTTCAAATCGATTAGATCAATGTTCTTACTTCCAAGGACAATATTCAGGACAATATTCAGAACAACAATGTATCGTCTCACGGATTGTTGAATGTATTAATTAATTGTAATATAGTCTAACCGTAATTGACAAATTTTTGGAGATAAATGCTCAAAGCATACTAGAATAGGGACTTACTCGCATTAAATGCGTAATTTTTGAGTGGTTGAAATAATGTAAATAAACCCCATGATTTTCTATTAATTTAAAGAACAACACGAATTGCATTGTGATTTATAGCTGTAATTAATCGTTATTATTATGTCCATGAATCAAATTGTCAGGAATCAGGTAAAAAGATACAACAATGTCATTCTCGAAGGACACATATTCCTTGCGACACACACCAACACTGCGTTTATTCTTCTGATCATTAGACTTACATTCATCATGAATCCTCCCTCTGACAAAAAAACTGTTCAAAGCATGGTCGGTCCTCGTTTTACTGTGATACCGACCCACATCAAGAGAAAAAAATTTAAATTTTTTGTTTTGTTTTTGCGAGTCCCGAAATGATTATTAACAGATAGAAACGATCATCTCCAGACATCAACCAAGTTCATTGCTGATCAAATAATCAAAAGATTTAATGTCTAAACTCTTGAAACTTATATCAATTCTGTTAACATAAGCATCGAGTTCATGCGAAACCCAATCCTTTTTGAAATATCTAACGTCCACCGATCGCCAATGTACGTTCGCAAGCTTGTTCTCGAGAGACCATGGGAGCATCCATTGCTGTCTGCACCTCCTCGTCGCTTGTAAAAAGCGATCATACAAGGCTTTGAATAAATCAACCGTCTTCCGTATTTACCTAGCAAAGTTCAATTCTATGTATCATTGTCCTTCATAACCACATGAAATAAACCCCAAAGATCAGTTTGCATGGTGACAGCTCTAAGGGTCCAAAGGCCAGTCAATAACAAAATACTGGTAGGTTATCGCGGGTCAAACTAGAATAACTGTAGGAATCGTGACACCGGCGCCGAAAGTTATTCTTCTCCCGCAATTATGAGATAATGTAACATTCATCCATATTGGTGCAGTTAGTAATATAAGTGCTGTGTGATCAGACAAGAAAGCCTTGTTTGGGTTGATTCCTTCGCTATTATATGTATGTTGCAAGCGAAAGAACAGATCTAACATCTTCCGTAAACCGGAGAGCGTCCAAGAACGGGAGTAAATCTAAAAGGGCTTCATCGTTTGGGTCACTTACCCAGCCTTCAATCGGTATACCGTTTTCTACCAAATAACAAAAGATCTTAGATAACTTTCGAATAATAGCAACGATGGCAAAGCTAATCAATGATTAAAGTAGTTACCTTGATGCAGTGAATAAGATATCGAACTGTTATCAACAAGACACACTTTCGAAAGATCATTCTCGACCAAAGTCAAATCTTTCACGTATGCTCCATTCCGTTGTATGCAAGACTTTAATAAAGACGTGGGGTTTTTTTTTCGAGTTAATAAATCTATTTTGTGTCTACGAACTGATAGCGGTATAGATCAACGGCCTTGGCCAGTCCCATCGCAAGTAGATAGCGAAAATCTTTGCACAAGGAAACTTAACCAGTTGAAATATGTGCTGCTAATAGTTCTAGTGTAGCCGTGTAACTCAAAATATTGATGAGTAAATCATTTCTAACCTGACGGAAAAAACGCTTTGTAATTAAGTTCTTGTCTGGATCCAACCAATCGATCACTGGATCTGCGTATTCCGGCATAGAGGCAGTAAAGATTACTACCTTGTACCATTCAGCGACCTAAATTAATAAAAACGATAAAATATATTGATAAGTTTTCCGAAACGAGTGTTATATCAGTAAAAGATTGTGTTCGTGGCAAGGAATTGCGAACAAATACTTGTTAAATTTTAGAGATCACTCGGAAGAAAGACGATCATCTTCTCAATATTCTACTCGATTACAGAACAAATTGTGGGAGATAACTGCGCGGATTCATACTCTACAAAGTTATTTCTACAAACAGATTAAATTCCCATATAAAATACTTACTTTCATCAAGAAATAGTCCACATGGGGTCGTTTATAAACGTAATAGAGACATGCATGGCTGTCAACCATGACCTCAAGCATATGCGCGTTTGCTGGCGAACCTCTCATTGTGGAATGTATCAAGGTTTCGTCCAAGTCCAGGATTAATGTCTTGGTTTTTACGAATGCTGAAAACGACGTGCTGGGTATGGAGGAAGCTAAAGTGGCCTGTTTATGTTGACCTTTCGCACGAGTCGAAGAGTGTTTGGAAACATGGGTTACTGTTGAAGAGGACGAAATCTGTTGATCTTGTCTCCTTGACCTGAACCTAGGAGATCGGCGCGGTGTTGTTGGAGAAGCAACAACATATGCCCGCCTATCGTTTTCGCCGTTATTAACGTTAGCATAGGCAGTATTGCTATTGCTAGCATCACCATTTTCAGCCGATAACTGTGTCTGTGACAAGATATATGGTGTGTAGCTGCTAGAGGCCAGGTTCTGTAATTGCTCGGTTACTTTACGAAAGCTATTTATGAGAAAGGAATACATGGTTGTCCAGTATAGTACAAGAAAGGATGGAGGTGTTGTTGGCGAAGAGGTTGTCAAGTATTCAGTTACTTTATTGTTGTTATTCATTTTATTTGCGCCTTCATATCTTTTAAGGTGGTATCGCTTTTTTGAATATGCTGAGACGTTACGTTTTCAAATACTGACCATAAGGTGTTCTTATGCAATTCGCGGAATCTTCCACAAATATTATTATGGCAAATACATTCGATAAAGTGAAAACTAGCAAATTCAGGGGCCGTCACAATTGTACTACTGTGAGTAATAAGCAATATGCACAATTACATTTGGGGCTCATCACATTATCACGGTAAACTTCGAAATACCGATAGCTTTGTTCTTTATCGATTTTCCGAGAAACCGGTTTTTTGTTCGTAAAACCGACATTGACACAGAATTATGGGCGTAGCATGGGCTTTTTATTCTTATTGGTCATCGTTAATTAATTATAAAACATAATAATAAATAATGATGATCTGTAATAATCTCCGACGATTGTGTTTTTCTATCACTATGCTCTTTGCAAAAATAAATCGAGAGGCGTTGACAAGACTAGAGACAAATTCGCCACGTAACAAATGCCCAAGCATGGGCTAATCTTGAAGCCACATGCTTTTCTACTTTATAAATTTCCAGACGCCCACACTTTCACATATCACAATATTAATAATCATACAAACACAAATTTAATTAATTAATTAATCAAAACGCCGTACCCAAAAAACCAATAACATACGCACCCGAGAAAGGATTTTTGGGGTCGCAATGTGTTTAATAGTCAAGAGGGACAGTTGTTAATATTAATAGATTAGACTCACAGACCAGTTCGACTTTATTCGCTTTTCCCAGTCGATTAAGCCAAAATTTCAAGACCCTCAATGTTGAGCATTCTTCATTGCATAATTCTCTTTAGCTCGATTTCAATCTTTTCGCTAATTCTTTAATTTAGGGCAGTCGAAGCAAGTAATTGTTACTTCTAATCTTGAGATGCTGTATGTTGAAGTCGGCATTCTTGCAAGCTTCTCTAATTCTTTCAAAGTGTCGCCAATTGTTTAATTTTTTATCAAGTCTCATTCAAGTTCTCGCTACCTTTCTAGGGAGAAGTTATGCTTCCATCAATTCAGTTTGTTTTTTTTTTAGTTGGCCTTGGTTCTTGTCATGGTACAATTATTTGCTCTTGTGCTTTGTTAATATTAGCTATATACTGTTGTATAAATCTAGAGTTAATTTACGTCAGGTCTATTGCACACCTCTAAAATCGAGCAGACCAATCAAGCTAAATAATGGCGAGGCTTTTGAGACAAAATATTGTTACCAAAAAGGCGAGATATAGCAATCAAGCGAGCATTAACGCAGTTTCTGGTAACATCAACCACCATGGCTTGAGTTTGCACTAAATATGACAACAAGTATTGTAGCAAGTATTCAATAAAAGATTCTAGCTTATAAATAATAAACGCTCGCAGTTTATTAACTGTTTCCTAATGAATAACTAACAAACCGAACAGTCTCAGCTGAATCTTACTCAGAATCAGAGTTGCATGCACGTGCTACAATCCGCAATTTCTGGAGGCGGGTGACGCCTTTTTTGTGAATTAACATCGATTATCTTGTACTACTTCCTGCCCTTATCACAGACAGTACTTTGAGTTTAAATCGAGTGACCGTTATTTAATTTACGCGCCCGTACTATCTGCTCGATAACCCTGTAGATTTTTCACTTTTCCGCACTCCAATGCGATTCCGGGTTTAACTCGTTGTCGCATCTGAAGGACTTCGCCTCAACACATGTGGTAACTTCTTGAGTCAATTGGATGGCTTTGCACTGTAATGATCAGCTAAAATGGCAATAAGATGTTACTCAGTGACCGAGACTAATCTAAATATAGACAATCAACTCGTTACTATATTGTCAAAAGATCGCTTTACAATCTAGCAACTGTTTAGTTAGAGATCAAATAACGTTCTCGGGTCAGTCAGCCCAGTTAGTTGACCAGAACTAATTCGCACAGCAACAGGTACCAGTATGTAAAGATTTGATCGTATAGTTGATGAGATTAAAAAAGAAAATCTGGATTATTATTATATATTACACATAGATGTTCTGTTGGTGTGACAATAGACAGCTGCCCTCTCGATATTGAACAACAAGCATACCACATAAATAAAACAAGACACGACAATTTTAAAAAAAAACACCTCTTTAAAGTAATCTTCTTATTCATAGTTCTGGATCAAAATTAGTTCTTCCTACTACAAAGCACATTATTTTTACTGTTAGTACACTCAGTATCCAATCATATTGATTAATGTATTGGCACGACAAACAACTATAACATCTTTATAACTTCCTCTGCAATTGAGGCCCCCAGTTGCACGAGCACTCCCCTGCATTTAATATTTGCACCCAATGAGAATAATTACGAGATGAGGTCACATCAAAATAAAAGAACTAGTTTTGCTGCGAGTTAATAATAAATGACATTTACAATTACGTTCATAACTTCAAAATGTAGAACTATTTATGTAAGCCAAGAAATTATTAAGTGCTCCATGGTAGAGTTCAGTCATATATGGCCTGTCTTGCATTGGACATTAATAATGTCAATATAACATTGAATTTACATAACCATATCTTATTAAGCGTATTTAATTTCCAACGTCTTATTGCAACCAAAGCATGTTCTCTCTCTCTCTTTCCCTCAATAGAGAAGCCTATCTTACAATAGCAAATACTAACAGATTTTTCTAAAAACACAATAATTAAATGATATTTGCGAATTATATTATATGCCCAACTTAATCCGCGAAATATTATGATCTGAGTCTTTATTACTCAACAAGTGTTTTTGATCATTGAAATTTTATCACTAACTTCATCTCTAGCTAATAAGTCAACATGGATATACGGTCAATTTCCGTTTCGGAGACATTAATTTCAACACTTGTGCCAATTCATGTGTATTGTGTTAAGACTAATCGGACCATAAATTAGAGACAATTTTCGCGGTTCCCACATGTGTTTGCATGTAAAGTCGGCAGAGTATATCAGTCCTAGACTTTATTTCAGACGTTTGGAAGTGGAGTGCTCTAGCAATTAGTAATGCTGTTTTCCAATATACAGCTGACTTGCAACGTTTTTCACAAGTTGTGAATATAGTTTGTGAACCAGATATTACAGCAGATTATACTCAAAAATGGGGTGTATGGACTTGGTTATTATTACTATGCATTGATACGCCGCTCATCCGATATAACAATATTCTATACAGCAAATCACGCTGTTGTAGATAATTGACTGATTATTGACGAGGAATCGTTTATCCAAATTTTCCATGTCAATTCAGAATTGACGTAGATTACAAACTGGCATACGACACGGGAACAGTTTCGGTTATTATTATCAAGAAGATCGATCATGTGCTACACTGCGCGTAATATTATATCCCAGATTGTACAACATGGATCAAGTTGACTGGAGATTTGCCCGCCTAAATATACAAATAATTATCCTGGAACCAAAGAGGAAGAAGTCTACAAGACATATATGGAATCGAAGCAAGATAAGTAAACAAGTAGCAGCGCGTTTATTGAAAGGATACCTAGAAAGTTACCAATGATATTGCAACAGGCGTAGTAGTAGAGCAAAAGTCGCCGGAAAATCCTGCAAAGCAGCCGCACAAAAATAGACTCTGCAAATCTTACAAAAAAAATGACAATTCTGTTTTAGCAAGACTTCTACTCTATTTATTCAGAAAGATGGAGACCAATTTAGCGAGAACAAGAAATGAACGGAAAAAAATTGATACCCATCCCCGTGGTTAATAAAAAATTATTTGTGTATGAGTATATAAGTTATAAAGTACTACCCACGGATTACCTTATTGCTGTATTGTAGGGATCGATTGTGAAGCTGAGTAATATATATTAGTCTCGCTATACTGTTAATAAAGAAAATTTATTTATAGGATTAATATTGATATAAAAAGGCTATCATCATCTTGATTTTTTTTGTAAGGTAAAATGGGAACGATTAATATACAGCAGATGTTTATATAAAATATCCCTCTCTTACAGTCCCCGGCAAATAATGGCGGCCGGTATAATTATCTACAGCCCATTCTCGATATTCTCGAGCCCACTGCATTCGATTTTTTTTGTTTTCACCAAAATAAGTGGGCTTCGAGCAGCAACTTGGCTATTATACAAAGCTCGTTTTATTGTCAATTTACTAACAGCAGTTCCAGTTGATTGAACAACGTTTGCATTGTAGTCTGCTGGCGATTGGTTCGAACAGCTATTTCAGAATGTCGCTTATCTCTGTCTATCAGTATTGGTGGTCTCCCAGTGCGTGTGACAAGAGTTTTCACAATACCTTGCTATCGTATCGTGTATTTTTGACTTTGGATGGCTAGTTTTTTCTTCAATCTCTCGTTCTGAGTGACCAAATCGCCACCGTCCAATAATAAGACCACGTTCAAACTCATCAAGTCTTGTCGTTCATCATTTTCCATTAAAAGTTTAATTGATAGATGCAGATCACAGTGTGGTTGTCACATGTATGTGATTGTGTTTCGAAGCATTGTAACAGTGGTCCGAAGTCGTTCAAGGTGCAGATAAACGTACAGTGAACCCTCCATAAATGCATTGCACGTTTTCCCATCATATGTATCCCACTCTCTCTAAATGCACGCCCGTGATTTTCATGTGATTTGCACTTACGTTACATTCGATTTCTATCAGGCCAGATAACATTGAGCCACCGATAGTTAATGCCACCGATGCTGCAAACGGGTTAGAAATCAAGACTCCAAAGAATTGTTAAAGCATGTGAGAGTTTTGGAGCGTTACATTAGTCTAAAGTCAGCGAGTGTAATGAAACAAACAACAATAGATGAATTTTTTCAATAGTATTTGAGCATCTTAATTAAATAAATATACAGTTGATACTGTCTATATCGAACTGGCCGGCTGGAGGATTTTAGTTCGTTATAACCAGAGCTTGCTCCGTTATATCACGTGATAATACTTTTACAAATTCAGTTGCAAGTGAGTCACGCTGCTATATAACGACATCTCGTTACAATGACAGAAATCTTGGAACGAAAATTTTATATTGCTTAGTTGTCGTATGTAAGTTAATTCTCGATATAAGGACATTCTCGATATAGTGATCATTTGGATTGGAACCGAGCGTGTCGTTATATCGAGACCCACTTGTAATACACTTTGCTTATTTACTAAATCTAACAATAACAACATTCAAGATCGAAATAGAATAAAAACTTTATCAACTGCTTGTACATAACGAAGCTACTCAATATCAACAATTTTATCCTCAAAATAGTGGGTTGCTTAAATAATTAATCCAATTCGTCTATTTAAGTTTCTCAGGACTCTTACTTCCTCATTTAACCTTACCAAATTATTAGATTGACGCCAGGACTATACAACAAGATTCCATCAATAATTTTACGCCAATAGTCTGCCTTTTTGATTTCCTAAAAGCAATAATTTCTGCATAGTGTAACACGTGATCTTTTATGTTTCGTTATAGGAAAAGCAAATATAATATACAAAATTTCGAAAGGTAGTTATAAACAGATTTATTAGTAAAAGTTCGTTATAACCAGATTTATTAATTAGAAAAAATCGGGTCTGGCGATTCTGGTTCGTTATGTCCAAAGTTCGGTATATCCAAGTTCGGTATAGGCAGCGTCAACTGTACTAATATGTTTATCAAGTCGCGTGAAACCAATAAAATGCTGACCTACATCCCTCTCTAAATGCTCATTCCCGAGGGCGTGCATTTATGGAAGGTTCACTGTTATACTTTAGTTCTCAACAACAAAACAAGATACTTGGCAAAATTTTCTGTGCTTTCGAATTAATGTAAAGTGTGTGTTGATTTTTTAAACAATTTTAAACTTTTAGGTCGCTAAAATTTTAGGTAACACGAATTTTAATTATGGGCCTTCTCAACAGCTTGATGCCCCGATCAAGTTTGGAAATCGATGATAAAAATGGAAGTTATTCGGTGGGGGTATCAAGGGCGTCAATTTGATACCTCTCCCGAAAGGAGCATTCCTAAATTGGAAATAGTTTATTTTTCATATGAACATAATTTGAACTTTTGCCAGACATCTCATATGATCGATGTGATGGACAAATCTTTTTTTCATCATATTCATTGCAATGCCTAAGAAGCAAAAAACCCTCGGATCCTAAACATCCACAACGTATGCGAGTTTGATAATGTTGGAGGGTGTCCAGAATGGCTTCAATAAATCGTTTAGTAAAATGTGCGACTGATCCTTGGCTAACACCAAATATTGTTCCAGTTGGCGATATCCCAGAGGATTTGCTAATCATTGAAAACTTGAATTTTAATAGGAGTTTGAGGTCAAAAGGATGTGGATAAATAGTTAGGATGTTGCTGTAGGATATTAAGCAGCCGATTGAACGTAGATCGCAAAATGCGAAACGAGGTTTAAAAACTATTAACTCGCTCTCGTCATTAAGATATGGAAATATGTCTGTCCAATAAGCCATTGTTTTTGGCCGAAGTAAACGAGGTGTACGATTAATCCTTGACATCGAATCAAACAGAAATGCTAATTCTATATCAATTAATCTTGATTTTATTACTTCTGTTACTATGAAGCTTTTCCGGCTGATAGATAACATTATCATTAACAGTGTAACAGTCTCATACGGAAGGGCGTTATTTATGCGCGTATGCTTAATGTCACATATGAATTTTATCACATTTATCCGCATAACGATAAAGGTAAATATGGTATTAAAAGCTGTTGAGAACTGATGCCCCTACTTTGTACGACTTCCAAATTTGATCAGGGCATCAAAGCTATTGAGAAGAACAGAAAATTTTGCTAACTTTATGCTTATGTAAACGAAAAATTTATTACTGCAACTGCTTTCTGTGTACTAATTAAACTGTTTGTGATAACATTTTACATATACCCTTGTTATTTGTATCACTTTCGCCTTGATATTTCAACAATTAAAGCCAACGTAAAGATTTTACCGATTTCGTCTTCCAATTTTATTTGTTTAATATTCGATATTCTCTATGCTGACATTATTAACATGCGTAATATAAACATTAGTACTTAGTAGGATTTCCCTTACTTTTAGTAACTGACGTAGCATGCTAACTACAAGATTTTGATAAACATTAAGATCAATATTGTACCAGATTTTTTTTGTGATGACTGATTGATCCGATTATTTCTGAATAATTCTTCCTTGTTTTATGGTAAAGGCTGCTATTCTCATGAAGATGACTACTACAAAGTGTGTTTACACAGACACTCTTAGATGTTGAAACTGTAAAATTCCTTTTTTTGGAGAATTCTTTTTATTGCACGACTATCTCTTGGTGTGATTTTTTTGGGTCTTCCTGGTCGATTAGTTTTTTTTTGTTGATTATTGCGATATTCCGCTATAACTTTATGGACAGTGCTTGGGCTCTTTTTAAAGCTACTGAATTTTTCTCTTCACTTAATCCACACTTCCATGCTCCAATTATTTCTCCACGTTTAAAAAGAGTAAGTTCTGATCGAGAAGTCATTTGTATGGTTATTAGCAATAAAATGTAACATTCATTGAGCAATAAACATAAAAGGCTTTAAATATTGTATCAATGTCACACAAAATTTTTATATAATATGTTTTAAATTAATTTCTCTATCATTATCATTTTTCATTACAATTTATGAAAATTTGAACATAAATATTTTAAATCGTTCTGAATACATTTGTTAGTAGAGTATTTGATGTCAGCATGAAGAATATATAATATTAAACAAATAAAATTGGAAGACGAAATCGGCAAAATCTTTGCGCTGTTTTATAGAGAAAAATATCAAGGCGAAAGTGATACAAACAACAAGGGTATATGTAAAATGTTATCACAAGCAGTTTAATTAGTACACAGAAAGCATTTGCAGTAATAAAATTTTTGCTTACATAAGCATAAAGTTAGCATATAATTTGCAAAATTTTCTGTTACTCACTCATTTATTGGAGGGCACTGTACGTATATATATAGATTTGTTGAAATTCGTTATTAATGTTTGATTGAAAGCGTAATTCGTGGTGTTTTGATACCAAAGCGTGATGTTTTGACAACAAAATTTTCTTAGACTTTAAGTCATGATTATTTACTGTTTTACAAGTCATAAGTTTAAAAAAAAAAATTTTTTTTCAGACTATTGAATTCGACAATGTTATTTGGTAACATGGTTAACATTTGGTTAGAATGCTTAAATCGTGATAAACTATCGTAAGTCTTTTGCAACCTGTTACAGCGGCTGCTATAACTTTGGCTTTGATTTGCTTTACGGTTAAGTCTCGGCATACTGAAAGAGAATACAATTGTCTGTAAAAAATTACGGTAAAAGCTAGCTTGACAGCTATAACAGAAAAAATTGTTGAAGCCATTTTTATATTTTTAGTTGATCGACCGAAAAGTACCTTTGGTTTCAGCATGTTGTAATCAAATAAATGTTGCTGTACATGTTTATTTATGGACAAGTCTTAGTCTGCTATAACTCCAATTTCTAAAATAACCAAATATTAAATGATATCGCCTTTTAATGTCCAAGCATTCCGGCGTAAAGTAATATGACGACTTGCTACCGAATAACCTTGTTGAATTAACAATGCAGACTTTAAACCATCACGGCCCAAACAAACTTGTCAAAACATCACGAATCAAGATGCTATAACCAGATTTGATATACCATGATTGTTACCAAATAACATTTGTCGAATAAAACTAAATTTTAATATCACAGAGTTTAAACTAAGACGTTCTAACCATATTTAATATATCATCAAATAACATTGTCAAATTCAACAGCCTAAAAAAGAAATCCGAATATCACGACGGTTTGTTGCCAACAATCTAGTCAAATTTTAAAAATTCGCGGTCACAAAATAACCACAGTGAAACATCAGGCTTTAAACATTCCAACCAAGTGTCCAGTGTAAACACGACTCGTAAACATAACGGCTTAACCAGCAGACACAATTAAATCAACAAACGCGCTTTTCAAATAATATTCTGACTTATGCGCATACCGAAAAGCATCATCAGACCCTGCCTCAAAAGGATACTGAATTCAGTAGACATGCTATTATCGAAGACAATTTTTATGACAGACCCGGTGATGGTTATTGCGCCATAATTAGATTGTGTCACCGCTGATCCGCACTTGTATGGCGGATCAGCGATTCTAAGTATCAATGCACGATTTCAAGTTGAACGGCTGGAGAATCTGATCTGTCTACATTACTAGCACGAGAACGATGGTCCACAGAGCATGGCCTTATGCTAAAATCGGAACCGTTGGATACGTTGATATGGGATCGTCACAAACAAACACCCCAAGATTGTATGGCTGGAAAGACAATGAAGCTTCTGGATCTAACCATGAATTTATTCGGCAATGGCGGAAAAGAACAGTGGCTATATCATTGGAAGCGTATTGGTATAGAAAACCCCACAATATTGTCAGCGTTACCAAATCCTTTAACTATCTACATAGTAATAATTTCACGTTCAGCAATGTGTTAAACATTGCAATGCTGGTACCGTTACAACACCCTTCAAGCATTGTGATTCATAGTTGATGGAGGACATAGTCACATTACTGAAATTGTATCAGACAATTGTGTCTCTCAGTTGCTGTCAGGATGGTATGCAATGGATATAGATTCCATTAATAATGACATTGCCAGCAAAGAAAATGGTGAGCTTTCTATAATATAACAATAATAATGCACTTCATTATTAGTATTGTTTATTTTCAAATAGGTAAAACAATCTCACATCTGCCCTGCTTTGTTGATATTGTGCTATGACAAAAGTGGGATAAATCCCCCAAATCAGAAATTAGAATGCAGGTTTCTCAAATAAGCTAGAAGTTGGGAATCCAATTTACCATGACCTTATGTGGTCATACTCTGTGGATCTGCTTATGGATGCAGCACACACTGGTCAACAAAAAGATAGAATTTTATAATTATATTATTTATATGGTAGTCAAAGATGACAATACTAGCAAAATGGTAAAACTACATGTTGGTGATATTGTCAGCATGAATGAAGAGATTGAACAGATGGCATTTGCAAGGATTAATAATAACGAAATTAATAGGCCATTAAGAGTAGCGATTAGATTAGGAGTGTTGTAATTCTTATTTAGTTGTTAATTATTACGGATAGTATAAAGGCCGAGATATATTCGAGGCACGAAAGTCTGCGAAACAAGTGTACTACGAAACACGAATCATGAAAGATAATAGTCAACGTAAAATCATTCGTCTGAAATCATTCGTCTAGCAAAAAGAAAATTATTCTCTAAAGAAATAATTAGGAATAATGTCCGTTCTTAGAGATATAATTATGAATAGATACTTAGTCGGTGCTCATCACTAGGCATCGATACACTATTGTCGCGAGGAGCGCAGCTGCTGACAGTATTCACTATTTTTCGTATACGGATAATCCTATGTATAATTTTGTGAGAGTAAGTTACAACCAGAGAAAAGTTACGTGGTAGTAATTTTGGAATAAATTTGACACCTTAAAGCGGTTAGTTTGTTTTCACATACAATTTTCTCTTCATATAACGTAAAAATTCGTTCGGATCCGTTATAAACAGATTTACTAATAAAAACTCGTTATATTCGAAGTTTTTAATTACAAAAAATCGGTTCTGGCGACTTCGGTTCGTCATATCCAGAGTTCGGTGTAAATAGGTTCGGTATAAACAGAGTCAACTGTATATCTGATTTCAGTCATTTATATAGTTTTTATTATCGGCGAGCGCCCGCGATAATTGCCAATTCTTGATCAGCAATCCAGCATCATTTCACTAGCACTTCTAAACCGACATCATATCAATAGAATAACCAATGGAAGAATCTTTATTTTTGACCAAAATATACAGTAAATTCTAGTCTTCTGTCATGTTATTAAGGATTCCCATTGTTACATCGAGGTGGAGGTTCGAAATAAGCTCATTAGCAAAGAGCTGACCGATGCGCTTTTCCAAAGGATCACGTAACTCTTCCAACGGAGGTGGCTGTTTCCCATCTGATGATATTGCATCCTCCTTTAGCGTCATAAGTGCAAGCTACAATAGAAATGGCAGTTAATATCATTCATACCAAATTTGAGGCGACTTCTCTTTCATGCACATAATTTACAGACCAGTATCGCATTATAACATCTCTGAGCTTCACTTCTTTTCACCGGATCATCCGAATGTACCAACTCTTGTTCTAATACAATACTATATGGCTTTAAATTAGGTAGAACGAGTAATTTGACTACTTCTCTACCCAATGTACTTAGCCCCACAATGGCTCCATAATGTGTAGTGAACGGTTTAGATATGTCAAGGAAAGCGCGAAGTAGGGTTTTACAGATTCGCGGCTGAAGAGTGTAGTATTGCACTCCATATCGTACGCAGATTGACTGAATCAAGTTCGCTGCCCTGTCACGTATATCCCAATGCTTGGTATCATTTGGAGGCCCCAAGCTTTTGGCTACCAGACAAGAGAGGATTGCTGGTATTAATTGATGAAGCTGATGAAATAATTAACGTGAATGACATTTATGTTAATTCGAATACTGTCAACAATACAGATTGTGCACGATAAAATAAAATCCCTACTAAGTACACTCTATCAGTTGATATTGCATATTTACTTCCAAAAATAAATTACCGACTTACGTATGGATCCATGTATAAACTCTGGTTGTTTAATAACGAATCCGTCATGTTCATAGCATTCTCCAGGACATTAATATCTTCATAGCCTTCGGCAACCTTGGAGCAGATGAATTGAACAAAATACGGTAACAATTGATGCAACGCAGGATCTTCTTTCAGACTGTTGAGTGCAGTGACACGCAATCTACTTTCTTCACTTAATACAGCCTTGGTGATTTTCTCGTAATAAGTTTGTAATTCGCGGGAGAGATTGTGTTTGACAAGAGGTCGGACATCGATTTCCATTGGTGCTCCATTTGACGGGGCTGGTCGCTCTGTCCTAACATCTACCGTATGTGTATTTGCACGTGCACCTGCAACGCGACAACATGATTGAATTCTAGAGATCATTCAAGCATTAGACAGGAAATAGTTATATAAACTGGACCAAACCTTCTGGGACGGGGTTCTGAGGCGTCGCCGGTTGAACTCCTTCAATTGCCAGCCAATGAGCTGTGAAAGGCAGTAAGGTTCATTGCGGCACCAAAGAAATAAAAGTGTCATATAGTCGCATCAACCTCCTCAGAAAGTAACAGTATGAACCTCTACATACATACTACATAAACCAACCCGTAAAAGTTACATCCAGCGGAACCTTTGGTAATGGGACATTCATTATATTCTCAAAATCTAGTTCATCATCTTCTAGATAGTAAATATCTGCATAGTTTGTTGTCAGTCGTTGGAACTTGTATTGATCTGACCCATTGAATCCATATAACGGCTGAATACGTTATGTGTGCGTGTATGTGGGAGAGAGTCAATAATACATAGATAAAAGTTAATGGTTAACGACAAAACACCTACCTCAACGTTACGAACGCGCATCGCATGATCTATGTCGTCGCTAGTCATCCTTGTTCGTTTGGCATGGCGCATGAATTTAATGGCTTCCTGAAGGAGAAGGAATTTTAGATCAGAAGAGTACATGAACCTGAGCCAGTCGCTCAAATTAAGTCCAAAGAACTATCCCACGCACAAGAAAATGAGTAAAACGGATAATATAAGCACCTGTATTATTTCATGTATTCGATATTCTAAATCCTGACTCAATGCGGTCGCTACATCCTCATTGATATTGGTAATCCCAACCGCCTCGGCTGTAGTCTTGGTGATGGCAGAGTCAGTTAACCAGTCTTCAAGATACCTGTACATATAATAACACCGTATTATTTACCTTTATTGTCTCTTTTGAGAATATGCCAGCCATTACCACTACTGAACAGACAAGATTGCCAGAACATCAAAAAATGGGTACACAAGTTTTCTAATCCTCCTATTAAGGGCTGTATGAGGCTGGTGTGGCTGGAGATAACAATTCATTTCTTCTACTTTTCAATGTCAAAGCAGGAGAAGTCGCCCACCGTCGATAGAGTTGTATTTCTTGTCACTAGATGACTTGGTAATGCATAACAGAACAACATGGATACTTTAAATAAGTGAAGTTGCTAGCTGTCGCGTTTAGATTGGGAATTGACGATGGATCAATATTGCGAGTACGTATTATCAGATGTCAATAAACGGCCTCATTTGCTTCCCGGTGGCACTGCATCAAAGAGTTACACTTTGAACAGGTATTTGAACAGTTGATATATTACATTAAAGCCACATTCTGTTATCAAGGTTTTTATCATGTTATTACGCATGTACATACAGTAAGTAATATTAACAGTTACGGTTCATCAAAATGAAGACGAATACGCACTACAATAACAGTTAAGGCTTGTTACAGGTCCCACACGCAATTACAGGTACACTTTTTTGAGTGGACCTTTTCAGTCGCGTTTGATTGATTCTGATCGTTTCTGGTATGACCGGACAAGTTGATACAGCATCCATGGCTGCATATTGGATGCTTGCAGTACTTGGGTTTTTTATCGTTTATACTTAATCTTTTCAGCATGCTTGTTAAGGTGCGTCAAGGCTAAGGCAGTTTGACGCAGGGGGTCGTAATATATATATCTGTAATCATTTTCGGAAGATGGTTGCCCATAATAAAACGTTCGCTCTTTTAACGTGGGGTTAATGATGTCAAGTTGACACATTCTATACATATTACATATTAGCATGAAGAAGTACTGTAATATTTAACTTGATAGAAATTTTCTGTTTGGTGGTATTGTTGAATGGATAGCATATTTAATTTATTTATGTAATATTAAATATCCTTATTTAAATCATCTTGGGCTATATGGTAAAATATAAATGACATTGACGCTTCTATCTGCAAATTCAATAGTACTTACTTTAAATGTCTCAAAAACGTGGTGGAGAAATGGAGCGTGATGATTACTGTAATTCTTATTGCATTTTATTGTATTCCATGGTATTCTTCAGACGTTAGAAGCACCAAATTGGATGAAATCTATTGTAGCAGCAACATTGTCACGAGAACCACATTGTCACGAGACCACATTGTCACTAGAACCACATTGTTCTCACGATGATTCCAAATTTAGTATCGTTCAAATAACAAGGCTTGGGTGCAGAGATCAGTCTTTGCTTATTATTATTATTATCTCAACCAACATAATTGAATAAAAAAAAGTTGTTTTGCATCAATTCAATATAATAATAGCAGAATACAGCCAATCAGCATATTATTCTGTTATTGTTATATTTTAATAGATAATGCCAAATATTATGAGACAAAAAACCTATGAGACCCTTTCTAATGTTCTCCTAATACAACATCACTTTATGGCCAATTGACCAAGAAGTTATTTACAGCTTGAAGGTATTATAATTGGTGTCATTATTTCTGCCATCATTATCATGTTCAGATATTTCTTGGTGTATATCCTATAATAATAATGTTGTATCCTATTTCTTGCCAGATTCATTATCAAC